TTATCACTTTTCAAGTGGCATTTGCCAAAATCTTTACAAAAATGTTATTTTTTCAAAAAAAAAAATTTTATATTATTTATGTTTGGGTTAATTATGTTCTATTAGGGTTTAGTTACGAGGGTTTATGAGGATTTAGGGGTCAAAATATTTTTTAGTGTTTTGACTTTTAAGATATAGGGTTTAAAAATCTATAGTTAGTGGCATTTTTGCAAATGAACACTCTTAAGTGGCATTTTTGCAAATGTGCACATAAAAAGTGGCATTTTTGCAATTTCCCCAAAAAAATACAAGATTCCAAACTTTTTGTCCAAAAATACATATTTCCGAATGCAAAATTATAGCCTAATCACTTGTCTATTTATTACATAATTAATGGTTTTATTTTCCGAATAACCAAATTCATACTTAACAAAATACTTAACAAACGTATTGGAGATTATAAATATAAAATTCATATGTACATTTTTTCATAGTTAAATAATTTTTCCCTTTGAATGAGTGTTATTCTAGTAATATATCAATAAATTAGTGTTAATCTGTATAGTTTTCTCTCATTAAAATTGTGTTGATATTACCGTTTTTTATCTCATTAGTTTAATAATTTTCCAAATAAGTTTTGTGATCGATTGATATACGACATCGATAACTCACTTTTTTGTGCCCTCCAATTAGACATATAATGGATACTTTGCTGGTTATTAAAGGCTCTTGGGTAGACTTTTGTATTTTTTGGAGTAAATTAATAATATTATTATCTACAAATTACAAACTTCAATCTCATTAGAGGAGTAAAGAAGCACCACCAAAAAAAAAGAAGCCCCTAAAAGACCAAAGTCTTACACATATCCACCATTAATGGGAATGATTTGACCACTAACCCATTCACTAAAATCCCCTGCCAAGAAGCCAACAAGAGCACCACGTCTTTGGCTACGCCGAACCGTCCAAAGGGAGACTCTGGAGCTACGCTTTGGATCAACTCCGAGGTCTTTCCATCAAAGAACATCTCAGTAGCGATGAGAGTAGGAGCAAGTTAACACACATGTTCCTTTGAGCTCTTTTGCACGGATCTTGAGCATAGTTTCAACAGCTGCTTTTGATGCCGCATAGGCAAGTTTAGTTGAGTTGAAAGTTTTTGGTCATCTTAAAAGTCTATGGCAAGTTTAGTTGTCCAAATCTTGACCTTGTGATTTACAAGACCATCTACGATTTGCTCCTTATGTACTTGAAGACGCGTGTGGAAAATGAGCAGGAGATACGAGTTGAGTTGAAGGCTGTTAAAAAAGAGATCGAATTCCTAAAGAGCTTGTATAGAAAACTGTTAGACGTCTTCAGGAATTCAATGTCCTCTTCAACAGCCTTCAACTCAAAGCGTATATACTGCTCATTTTCAATACGAGTCTTCTAGTATACAAGAAGAATAACGTAGATGGCCTTCAGAATCACAAGGACGAGAGATTGGGACAACAAAACTTGCCATACACTTTTAAGAAAACCTCCATTCCCATTCTTTCTATCTCCTCCATTCTCTTTTCCTCCATTCCCACTCTTTCGCTCAAGACTTGGGACAAGAGCACCGAAGAATCCCTGCAACATCACCAGAAATCTAGTAAGAAACGCAAACATAATCTATGGTTTTGATTCATTTTATAGCCCGATTCGAATAGTCTCTCATCAAGATGACATGATCAGTCTAAGCAAACTCAAATCATGATCAAGGCCAAGGATATTTCGAAGCATAATCAATAACCACCTAAGCATTTCATTAATCAACCAATAAATTCATAAAAACATAATTCTATACCGTATGAAAATTTTTCCTCTATATATTGAAAAAGAAACATTTTAGACCAATTTAAAACCGATTGTCAATCAAACCACAAACATCATTAAATATAAATTCTTTTTGTTTTTTTTATCAACTATTCCTAAATCTTTAGTAACGCTATTTAAATTGGGAAATTTGGCTCAATAACAAAAAAAAATTATAATTCAAATTATAGCCATTTGCCATAAATTTAGTGTATTCCATTAAGCCACATATGCTCATTTTAGTTATTTAATGGGTTTTTTTTTTTGGATATTCTTGTAAATGACCCATTTAAATTTGTAGTCTCGTTTTAGAATTTCGTTTTTGTTTCAACATATAATATATACTAACTATGAAAAAAATGTACATATGAATTTTATATTTATAACCTCCAATACGTTTGTTAAGTATTTGGTTAAGTATGAATTTTGTTATTCGGAAAATAAAACCATTAATTATGTAATAAATAGACAATTGATTAGGCTATAATTTTGCATTCGGAAATATGTATTTTTGTCCAAA